AAACATATAATTTAGATTAATTTTTTTTTTTGATAATTTTAAATATAAACAAATTTATCTTGTTTGAAATTTCACCTCTACATTTACAGTTTGCAAATTTTTAAGTTGATGCATAGCGAAATCCAATGCAAGGAGAACACCTGTACGACCGCGGCCTGCATGACAATGTATCAATGTTATATCATCATTAACCTAAAATCCATAAATTTACAGCATAAAATATATAAGCCATTAATCATATTGGGCCTTGATTTAATAATAATTGGGATTAGAAAAATCTTAATGTAGTAATTGCGATGAATCGGAAAAAAATCACTTATTATTTTTTTTTAATTGCAAAAATTAGCCTATTTAATCGCAATATAATACTTCTTACAATAGATGCTTTCTAGTTAAAATGTTTGTTTATCATATTTTATTGTTATATATTTGATAAAAGCCTAGTAATCTTATATTTGTTACATAATAAAGTAAAAATGAATTTACCATTACTAAAATTTGTAATAAAATATCAGCAGCTTTAGCTAAAGTATTATATCTTCCCCAAGGTAAAGGTAATTGCCCATCTGGCCATCGAAAATAGCATACATGCGTCAAAAATCGATCTTTTTTTGGATAGATTGAATTACAATATCGTATACGAAGTTGTGTCAATCGATAAACATATTCACTGTTATCATCTGTTCGAATTTCACAATCAGCCTAATCTATGTCATTTTCATATTAAAATTAAAGATAAAAAAGTTAATAAGCTTAAACAATTTATACATATATATACGTGCATATAAAATTTGATGAATGATATTGATTATGATAAAACTTAATTTCTTTAAGTTTTTCATCATTTCTTCTCTTAACATTCATTCCAAAATATAAACGTTTTTTTTCTTTTTTTTAAAATTATAATTTTAGCGTAAGACTTTAATATCACAACGATAAGTAAAAAGATAAACTAAACCGACACATTCCATTTATATATGATTTCTGTTTCACCGCCGTAAGTAAAGAGGAGCAGAAAATTGAATTAGAATATTTCTCAATTAAATTTATTCAGTCGAATAACATAAATTCGGAATAAAGATTAGCAAATTATTGAAAATTCATTATCGCTTATAACAAACCATCAATGAGCTGTTAATGCAAGTTATTTTGAATGGCATGAAATTATACGTTTTGCCATTAACAATGGGCCAATATTGAATTGTTTCATGATTTTTCTGATATGCATTCGGATAAAGACGTTCCTCATACGGATAATTCATCGACATTATCGTTTTTACATTTTCCTAAATACATTTAAATATTTATGATAAATTCAACAATTTTCACTAAAAGATCTTTTCAATTGTTTTTAATCCATAACATTTTAATTTAATAAATTTTGAAAAACTAAAATGTACTTTGGAATATTTTTTATTTAAAATATTTTAAAATTTTGAAATAAACTTTCTAATATAGATAAGAAATCTACTTTCCTTTTTTGATAGAAATAAATCAATGCAATACTTGAGCACGATCTGCCTCTAATCGTAATATAATTTGAAATATATCTCATCTATACTTATTAAATCATAAATATTTACCTGCCAAACAAGAGTCCAGAAATCATAAACCGTAACCAGATTAGGCCCTTTACATGCAATATATATTTTGCCATCTTGACGTATAACACGTTGTGCATTTACCTATAAACATAGCTTCATAATTATAAAATAATTTTTTTGGACTATTTGTTAAATTTTCAAAAGCTTTATTAATTTATTTAATGCAATTTTTTATAATTTTTGAAAGATTTATTTTTTCTTCTTTTTTTGGTTCTTTATTTCATCAATTTTATCAACTAAAAAGAAGCTGAATAATTCATTTTGGATAAATTCCTTTTTTCAGTTCAAAAAAAATTTTTTTCGATTAAAAATGTTTACAATTTTATTCGCTTCAATATGGTTGTTTATATTTGTTGATATAAACACTTCACATATTCAAATACCACTTTATATCTACTTTAATTTACATGTAATATCCTTAAGTTTTTATTTTACTTGAAATACATATTATCACATTGATCAAAAAAAATTAACAGAACATATGCAACATGTACATATTATTGTGGTATATATAAAATACACTATCTCAAGCTCGATATGCATATATATAAAATGTTAGTAGAACGGAAAACGTTTTTCATAATCCAATAATTTCTTTTGTTATTTTGGTCAGGAACGAAATGTTTTAGGTTATTCTTGTCTGACTGATTAAAGGAAGCATTTTTTCTTTACTTTATTAATCAACCAAAAAAAAAACATTTTGTTATCTATTAATTAACTTAAGCGAAGCATTTCCCA